TTTGAAACTTTTACTTCCGGAATTTCTATCCAATAAAACGACTTTAGTGTGCACAACGAAAAATGTGCTATGGAGACGGCAACATAGATAATTCACCATTTATAACTATTAGGATTTGGAAATGAATGAAGCGAATAAATTTAGCTTTTGTAACAGGTGCCTCTTTTATAGCGATGTGTATGTGCGTTTACTTCTTGAAAGTTTTATAATGTCAATCATATCATCGTACAAGCAATATCACTCCAATGTAGTGTTAAGACACATGTTCGAGCGATATATCTTGAACAAACGGCTAAATAACCACTAAATCACTTGAATAACTACCTCTTCTAACCGTATAACGAACGGATGTGATACTCGACTGAGGATATTCAGCTCATTATTCACGGATCCACAGTCGGAAGAAACTAATTTTACAGCGAAATACTTTCGAGATATCCGATGCTGCACCCGCATAACCTAAAAAATTTTCTGAGTAGTTCCATGGACTTTTCAAGTACGTCCATTTGAAGTAGTTACCTGTGAGAAGCTACCTTTTCCTATGACGGAGAGTATTTCGTATTTACATACAAGTCGAGAGTCCAATCGCAATGCAGGACGATCTCGTAACATCGCACACTCACCAACGGGCATTTCACCTCCCACCTGCAAATGCCAAACTTAGTAAAGAGCTGATTTAGTGCTCTTATAAATTCCAAAAAAAGTGTACTAGCACAAATGCAAACTAAAATCCGCAAAAACCCTTTTAAAAACTATTCAAATTTATGGAACAACATTGGCACAAATAGGATTTCGTAGGAAAGAGAAAAGAGACTGGCATTGTGAAAAGAAAAAGTTCTCAATTTTCATGCATCCATAGGATTAGATATCCACAACGCGAAATCATAAAATCAAAATAGAAGAATAGGAAGTCCATGGGGAGGTAAGAATTTGCTAAGAAACAAAGCGTATCGATGGGGCATAGTTCTAGCCTCTACGTATATTTTTTGGCACACTCAGTTCGCACCAATGAGCCCTGGGAACTATAGGCATGTGGGTAGCGAAATTTTCTTCCAGAAAAGGTAACCGCCACGAGGGGTGGAAGTGCGCCAATATA